TAAAATCAGATAATTATCTTTCATTCTCTATTTTCAGAATGATCCTCTCCTTTCTCCAAGGTTCACATTTGAATCAATATGCTCATAACAACTGAGAAAGTTTTGAATTTAGGGGAGGAGGTAGAGAAAGAGAGAGGCAAAGGGGTAAAAAAGAGTGGTAAAGAGGGTGGGATAGAAGGAGAGAGAAAGAGAGGCAGAGATCATTTTTTTTAAATCCTCATAATTTTATACCATTAAATGCCTTTTTTTAGGCAAGGCATTCATTCACTCACTCCATGAGTGTGCAAACGGAGGCTGAAAACCCTTTGGCAGGAACTTAGAGGTAGGAATGTATGACTCTGGGATTGGGCTGGGTGACCCAACAGGCCCTATCCAAGAAACACAAACACCACAAATCTAATTCTTTCTTTCTTGGGTTATTACTACACAGTGGAAAAACCAATGTTGTTTCCTTTATCACTTCAAAACTGCCCAGATCCAGATGTTTAGAAATGACTGTGGCCAGCAAATATTCATGGAATAACCTGAATTTGCTAACACCTACTATTCCAAGAATTTCTCTCCTCAGAGCAAACAACTGAAATTGAAGCAGAACAAAGCTGAGTGGTCACCACAGGTACATTACATTGATTTCACTTCAAATTTATACAGCTCCCTGAGCTCTGATCTGAGAAAACCTCACCTTTTTCTTTCTAATATAGAAGTATATAGTTAGGAGGCTAAAAATATAGATTTAAAAATATTTTGCTATCAAAATTCAAGACAATCTACCAAAAGCTTATCATTTAGGCAATGGCACTAGTGGCTCCCCTCTTGCATGAGTAGATGTCTTGTCCTATGTCAGCCATTTCCATAAAAGTAGACTCACTCAGGCTAAATCCTTTTGTTTGGAAAGTCTGGTCTTTGGGAAACTATTTGACTTTTTGTCCCCTTGAGGCACATGATCAAGTAGTTTATAAATACCAGGATATATGGTTGGCCTTCCTTCCACCATCTTACATAAACTCATATATTTTCTTACTAGGGCTTTTCCACTGCCATAACTCTCCATTTCCTCTCCAAAGGGAATCCAAGCAATCCCAGAGGTGGTCAAAAAAAATTAAGGTTTTTGGATAGTTAAGTTCAGAGCACATATATGACATCTATGTTTTAAAGTACTCAATATTCTATCTCCCATTGACTTTCTAAATTCTTAATTTTTCTCAGCGTTTTCAAAAGCTCAACACTCCATATACTGTCATGAAAGATGCTCTCCTGCTTTCTCTGAACCGATGGACTTCCTGTATTTGGCTCTGATCTAATGTAGGTAAATCAATTCTTCACAGTACAATGTGGTCAGTCATCAGTAAGTACTCTGGCAATATAAAACACACTGGATGTTTCAAATTCTCAGTATTGTCTTCACAGTCATTAGAAACTCAGGTTCAAAAATTGCACTCCTTATGATTTATTAAAAAAAAAAAGATACTGCAGGGTAAAAAGTACACCTTCCTTCTCATCACCCAACAAAATAAACCAAGATCAAGACCCAACCAGGATGGGTGATTTAAATATTTAAAACATACAGCAACAATTACGTTCTATAATGAACTCTATTGCATGCTGTTTTTAAAAAACGTATTTGCTCCCTCCACACCTGAACAGCTTCATAACATGATTGAGAATTACTTCACAGCCTTATACCATACCAAGTCTCCATTAATTTATCATTCTTATATTCAAACACAATTGAAAACTGACTAGAAAAATTTATACTGTGCTCTGCTCTTCCTGTAAAGGGTTCAGATTCAGCCTTTGGTGTCAAAACAATTGAACTGCTTTGCAGTTAAATCAATAAATTAATCATTTCCTCTGCCAGCTGGCAAATCCAAAGTATTGTCGATGTCAGATTATTCACCAGAGAATATCTGTTCTGTGCACTATACTACCTCTGTTCCACAGCTGGGCTAAGCCAGAAGGATGCCGGAGCCAGGAAAAAAGAATAGAATCTGAACAAACTTTTAAATACAAATGATCTTGAAAGTGGCCATTATTTTGCATTTACAGTCCCCTGCTTCTTCCATCCAAAGGTATAACTAATCATCTATTAACTGCATGGGCTTCTTTATTTTTTTACATTGAAGATCTGAAGATACAAAATACAGCAGACTTTTATAAAACTATAGACTCACTCCTTTAATGAGTGGATGTGTACCAGATATTTTTTCTTGGAAAATCCTGAAGTACTTATTATCATTCTTTTGTAAATCTTTCCCTTGTGTTGAGTAGTTTTCTTATTTAATACCAAAATAGACTAGTTTTAACTCCTATTCATTTTATTCATTTTAAAATCACAGATTATCTAGTCTTTTGCCATTGAGGTCTGTGGCCATTTGAGGCTACTGACAGACTTCCCTACACCAGCTTTGTTTGTTGGTTAAGTATGTTTAACTGCTGAATTAACAATGTCAGAACATTTTCCTTTGCCTGAAGACAAGAAACTGGAGTGTTAAGGTGCTAAGTTAGCAGTCTGCAGGGAACTCTAACCACAATTAGCCAACCTTGAAGCCAAACCATAGGATTAGACATATAATGGATACCGTACACTACAGCTACTTCTAGCATGTGAGTTACAAGAATTCCTGAGAAGCTGAGGTTAATGGATGAGATTTATCAGGAATGAGGTATCAGGGATATTATTTTCTGAAGGGCCAATCGGTGCTTAGCATCTAGAAAGTTTACCTTGGCACAGTGTTATCTGATTTCTTGAATTTAGTCTCTGAAGTAGCACCTTAACACTGGCTCATCTGTCTAAAATTAAAAACAGAACCTAGAAGAAACACAAAGGCAAACTTAAGACACCCTCCATATTTCTGCTGCACTATGAAAAGCAACAAAACCTTTCATTATCATCAAATACCAGAAATACTAACATTTCCTGTTTTGCAAACTTTAGTTGGGTGGCTAATAAGAAAAGTTAGGTAGTGAACCAGAAATACACAGATAAGAACTTTGGTTTCCACACAATATAGAAGGGTAGACAGGCAAAATAGCCACATCTCATGTGAGAAAATCAGTGGCATGGAAGGGACAAAAGATGTAAAGTTACTGAATAATGACTTTCATACAATATAACCTAGAAAGTTTTTCTTTTTCATTAAAATGCTATGGTAATATACTTAAAATAGAAAACTCTGACGACTGTCTTGATATTTTAAAGATAAAAATCAATATAAGCCTTGACTACCTAGTCCTGGGCAATAACATAATTTCAGATTTGGGAAAGATAAGAACTAGGGGTAAAACAAATCCTAGAATCCAGATCAGCAGCTCTTAAAATGAGGTATGAGATGTTTGAGGAAGGGAGGGGAGGGGAGGGAATGTGGAGGGCTGGGAAAGATATGCCTAGTGACTGCTGATTCTGGGCCGGAAGGATGGAGAGAAGTGCTGGAAAAATACTTGTAAAATGGAAAAGGCTGAACTTTCACCCCTGGCAGTTCAAGTCTCACTGCTGTGGGCACTGGTGTGGAAATTGAGGCATGGCAGCAGTGACTGGGTTACAGAGCAAAGTCAATGGCTGTTTGTTACTTCTGGTCCATATGCCGTAAAATTACTGAGGCTTGGTTATAATTTGACTCCCCTGGGAATTATTTTTCTGTAATAGAAATAATTAACCAGGCAGAGTGCTCGATCCCAAAGAGAGGACTAGGGATTGAGGAGTAGGAAGGGGAAAAGAATGGAAGAGGAACAACTGTAGGTGGGTAAAACTGTAGAAAATGAAACAGTGGTCAGAATGATGGTGGTGGGTTCTGTAATTCCACCAGGTGTCCCTAGACTGTGATGTTTTCTACTGCAGTTAAGGTGGTAGGAAATTCAGACAGGCACCTTTTCATTGGATACAAGCACCTTTGGTGTCACCAGGCCTTGTCCACACCCCTGGGTCTTAGGATGGTTCTGCATTTTATTAAGAATTCTAAGGAGCCTCAAGGGAGTCAGAGCTGCCTCTTATGTTCCAATGCCTTGAATATATTTGAAAGTATCCCAAGCCTAAATTCATGTTCACAGGGACAACACCAGCCTGTTCTATGTACTTAACACTGGGAGGAGGCATGGGAATCCAGTTATTTTAGTACTGGTTGTCTCTATGAAGGAACGCATGAGAATGCAGATACAGCTCAAAATCTTCCCTAGTTTACCAGTATGCAGCCTAGACTTGGTTTCCTTTACTATCCTTACATATTCCAGAAGCCTAAAGCACCATCATTCATGAAGGTGGCATCTGGGTAAGAGGATGAGTTGGAACCTCACGAAACTTTAAACTTCCTAGTCATTAACTTTGCTTAGAACTTCACTAATCATTCATCTGGAGAAATCACTTCTTGCTACTAACAAATTCATGGCAAAGTCCTTGTCTACTAGCTAACGAATACCATCTGGAAAGTTACCCTTCTTGCAGACAAGGAGAAAGCTCTATAACTTTGTGCACTTCAAAAGAGTACCAGAAACAAGCAAGCTATAAAATCAACCTCTCTAAATTCACTTAGAGGAGATTAACCAAAGCAGCACTGTCTTATAATCAGATATTAAAATTAACATAAACATAAGCACACAAACTAATAATGCTAAATATTATAACAGGAACAAGATAATATTTGAACTGAGTTTTCACAGTCTGGAAAATACTATTACTATTTTCCTTCTGGCTTTCTTTTCTGTGGTTGAAAAAGCAAAGCCACTTAATTTACACTTCATCTTTCACCAATGATAGTAAGAGTCCAAAAAAAAAAATGACTTTTTCATGAGTTTCCTGTAGGCTATTGGTCACGATGGTTGGAACTTTTCTTGCATAGTTTTCAGTGATTGCATATTGGCTAACAATTATGTTTAAAATTTTAAAAATTATCTTAAAAAAGAAAAAGAATTAAACCATAGCAATCTTGTTTAATCTTTCATGAAATCTTCCAAATGCAACATCACAGAAGCCTAATGACACATTCTCCTAAAGAGAAGATTAATTTCCAGAAATTATTATGTAGTGCAACTGGTTAACTTGTAGGAAAGAGACAACACACTAATATAATTTCACCATTCAAATATGGGAAATGTGTTTTGAGTACCCAGTTAATAAAATATATCCATGGTCTGCAATGTCCTTCCTATGATTCTAGTTGAAAAGAATGGAATCAGGATCTTGGTTCGCCATCTGTGCTATATGCTTTAACACATCCTTCTTGGTAATGATTCCAAGCAATCGCCTAAAAGATAAAAGAAGACAACAAAACAAAAATAAATCTGTAATCAAAATAACATTGTCAAAGGTGGCACTTTTCCACCTCAATCTTTTTCAACTTTGAACACTATCTGCACTTACAGATGATGAGATAGCAGGACTAGGATACGTGTATCAGGCCTGAGGGAAATGCATGGGTCCCTGAAAGCACTGCAAGCATTACTACCTCTAGATCTGAGATCTTGCTATCGCCTCTGGTTTAAATATTCTTCTCTGCATATGCAAATCTTAATTATCTTTTGCAACCCAGTTCAAATGTCCCTCTTTCAGAACAACTTCCCTGATTTATAAGCCAGCAATAATTGTGCCCTCCTCCCAGCAACATGTTCTGTGCACTTGTCTTGTTTGCTGTTGTACTATATGCACTCATATGTTCTTAGCTTCTCTACTTCCCTATAACACTGTATACTCCCTGAAGGCAGAGAAGGGTTTTATTCATTTTTGTGTCTCCTCAGAGTCAGGTGGAATACATTTATATAAAGTAACTATTCAATAAATGTTGAATGAATCAGTTAGGGAAAGTCTCCTTCCTTATTTAAAAACTAGAAGACATCTATTACATACCCTTCTCCTCAACTTCCCTTCTTTTCTAATAAAAATAGCACCTCTTCCTTTACTGGATAAGAAATATTTCAAACAGAGTGGGAATTGACTGAGAGAGTAGGGGGTAGGATGGGTGGAGGGGGGTAAAGGGGAGAAAATTGAGACAACTGTAATAGTATAAACATGATTTATAAATTAGAAAGAAAGAGAAAGGAAGGAAGAAAGGAAGGAAGGAAGGAAGGAAGGAAGGAAGGAAGGAAGGAAGGAAGGAAGGAAGGAAGGAAGGAAGGAAGATTCCAGAAAGAAAGCACCTTGGTGTTGGGAGTCAAAAGACTTATGTTTAAAGGGTACCTCTACTATATGTTAACTGGGAGCCTTAGTGTAAATCTTTCAGCCTCACTGAAACTTGGTTTTCTCATCCTCAAATAATAGCAAAGGTACTGTAAGGATCAAATACTACACATATACTATTTAATACCATTATACTTTCAGTGCTGCCTGTTCATAAAAACACAGCTGCTTCCTTTGTGGGGAGGAACTGAGTTATTTATAATGCGCAACCAGCAGTTTACACCTCTCAAACCCATTTTCTTCCCCAAACTCCTTTTTTATTAATTATGATGATAAAGGAAACACATCCACCTTCATCTCAGAGCTTCAAAAAGGCCTATGAACACTACTAATGTTCATATGTATTAGGTTCTTCTTTCTTTATCTCTCTACAGTCTTCCCACAATCCAATTTGCCTTCACCAAAGAGTTCTCACCCATTGTGTGTAACCAGGCACTGCCTCAGTCCCAGCTTGCGGAAGATATCAACGACGATTTCCATGGGGGTAAGGTCAGTCACAGTGAAGGGGCTGAGATCCAGGATGTTCCGAAGCTTTAGGGTGTGTGGAGTGTATGGTGGCATTGGAGGAGAATGCTCAGTGAAATAAATGATAGACGTGCTCACAACTCCATCCTGCTTTTTTCGAGCATTTTCTATTTGAAAAGTGTGGGGGGGGGATTGAAAATTAAAGTGTTATTTCTGGCTCCTAACTACTCCCCTCTTCCCTCCATCTTCCCCATTCATGAATATTTATTTCCACAATAGATTATATTATCCCTTTTCTGGAATCCTTACCAATTGAAATAATGAGATCTCTTCGGAGGACAAAACCCACAAGCCTTTGGGACTCCCGGGACACCACTACTGGGAAGCCACTGTAAGTGGTTTCACTGATTATGGTCTCTACATCTTCCACAGTCATACTGTCCTGAGTAAGGACAGTCAACAAAGGATCATTTCTCCGGGGTTTCATCACATCCATTGCCAGGGTCTTATGAGCAAACTCTTCTTTGGCTTCAAGAAAGGGGTATCCATTGAGACGAATGTGGGCATCATAGATGCCCTCCCGCCCAAGAGCATCTGCCACCCACTTGCTTGTCATTGCTGCAGCCATCAGAGGCACAATGTATTCCAAGCCACCAGTTAGTTCAAACATTATGACAACAAGAGAAACGGTCATCCGAGTTACCCCACCTGCAAAGTAACAGACACAGGCTACTGAAGGCAGGAAAAGTATAAGATTTATTATAGTTATCACCCTCCTCCAGGCCCCATTTAGGAAAAGCTTATTTACCAGAAACATTACTAAAAAGAGGTCTCACATATAACTGCACAGACCTCAGCAATACACTAAAGAAAGTTTACAATGTTTACAGAGTTCTCAAAATAACATCTACAACACTACAAGATGCCTTCTTGATTCTTCTTTTTGTTTCATCTGTTGTTCCCCCCAATTACAAAAGTAATTGTGGAAGATATCCATAATTTGTGTAACACTATAGAGACTAGAGGTTCTCTGGGATGTACAGGCACATTGAAGAAAATTCAGAAAATAAAAAATAAGGATATGAAAGAAAGTTCATTACCTAGAAATAAGCAGAATGACTTTTTTCTGCTTATTTCTAAATAAGCAGAATCTGAATGACTTTTCCAAGTTGTTTACTATGCAAAAATGTATTTTTTACTTTTTCAAGTTGTTCACTATGCAAAAATGTATTTTTACATCTAACGTCATATTATATGTTTAATTCCCCACAATCCAAAGAGAGATTTGTAAAGGCAGCAACAGAGAGACAGCTAGTTACATACAAGGGAGTCCCCATTACAATCTTTGCTGATTTCGCAACAGAAACACTACAGGTGTTAGAGATTGGCAGGAAATATTTAGAGTAATGAAAGCTAAGAACATGTAGCCTAGATTGTTCTACCCAGCAAGGCTATCATTTAAAATTGAAGGACAAATAAAGAGTTTCCCAGACAAACTAAGGTTAAAGGAGTTCATTACCACCAAACCAGCACTGCAAGAAATGTTAAAGGACCTTTTGTAAGAAGAAGAAATAGAGCAAAAAAAACATAGGAACAATATAAAAAATGGCAATAAATAAGTACCTATCTGTAATAACCTCAAATGCAAATGGATTAAATGTTCCAATCAAAAGACACAGAGTAGCTGAATGGATAAGAAAACATGACCCAGATATATGCTGTCTACAACAGGCCAACCTCAGAGCAAAAGATTTCCACAGGCTGAGAGTAAAGGGATAGAGGAAAATATTTCACACAAATGGAAATAAACAAACCAAAAAAAAATGCTAGTGTAGCAATCATTACATTTGACAAAATAGACTTCAAAACCAAGGTCATAAGAAAAGATAAAGAAGGTCATTTCATATTCTTAAGGGTTCAGTCCAACAAGAGGACATAACTCTTGTAAACATATATGCAACCAATATAGCAGCACCTGAATATATAAAAGAAATCTTGGTGGACTTTAAGGAAGATATTGACAACTCTGTCATAATAGGAGATTTAAACAGCCCACTACTGACAATGGACAGATGTTCCAGACAAAAAATCAACAAGGATATAGCAACATTAAATGACACACTAAATCAAATGGATTTAATTGATACATACACAATATTTTGCCCCAAATAAGAAGTATATACATTCTTCTCAAGTGCACATGGATCATTCTCAAAGACAGAGCACATGTTAGGCCAAAAAATAAGCCTTAACAGAATCCAGAAAATTGAGTCTGGCCAAGATGGACGCATAGGTAAATATACTTTGCCTCCTCGCATAACCAAAAGAAAGACAACAAATTAGAAAAAAACAGAACTGCCAGAAAATTGAACTGTATTGAAGTCTGACAACCAAGGAGTTAAGAAACATTCATCCAGACCGGTAGGAGGGGCGGAGAGGACATGCAGCAAGGCAGTGGCTGGAGGACCAGGTTGGTGAAGTGGGGGCTGGCAGACTGGGCGATCCCACAGTTGTGTGCAGATAAACTGGGAGAAACAGCTGGGGAGTGAGACAGACTGAACAATCCAGGGTTCCAGTGAGGGAGAAGAAAGCTTCAAAACCTCTGCAGGGATTGTGGCAGTAGGAGAAACTCCCAGCCTCACAGGAGAGTCCATTGGAGAGACCCACAGAGCCCTAGAATGTACACAAACACACCCACCCACGAATCAGCACTAAAAGTGTCCAATTAGCTTGTGCGTAGTGAGAGAAGTGACAGAAAGCCTGCCAATAGCCGAGCAAGCAGCATTGTTCTCTCTTGGACCCCTCCCCTACATAAAACATCACAACACAGCAACTTGGGTTGCTCTCTAGGCCCTGGCAAATACCTAAGTCCCTGCCCCTACTAATGTAACAGGTGGGCTGAGACAAAAAAATATGACCAAAGTGAAAGAACAGATAGAACTAAGTGATGAACAGAAAGCCAACCTATCAGATGCACAGTTCAAAACACTGGTAATCTGGATGCTCACTGAATTAGTTGAGTATGGTCACAAAAATGGAGGAAAAAGGGAAGGCTATGCAAAGTGAAATAGAGAAAAATATACAGGGAACCAACAGTAAAGGGAAGGAAGCCAGGACTCAAATCAACCATTTGGAGAAGAAGGAAGAAATAAACATTCAACCAGACAGAATAAAGAAACAAGAATTCAAAAGAAAAATGAGGGGAAGTTTAGGAACCTCTGGGACAACTTTAAACGATCCCACATCCGAATCATAGGGGTGCCAGAAGGAGAAGAGTAAGAGCAAGAATTGAAAACTTATTTGGAAAAATAATGAAGAACTCCTCCAATCTGGCCAAGGAAATAGACTTCCAGGAGGTCCAGGAAGCTCGAGAGTCCCCAAGAAGTTGGACCCAAGGAAGCACACACCAAGGCACATCGTAATTACATTACCCAAGGTGAAAAATAAGGAGAGAACCTTAAAAGCAGCAAGAGGAAAAGAGAGAGTTACCTACAAAGGAGTTCCCATAAGACTATCAGCTGATTTCTCAAAAGAAATCTTGCAGGCAAGAAGGGGCTGGCAAGAAGTATTCCAAGTCATGGAAGGTAAGGACCTACAACCCAGATTACTCTATCCAACAAAGCTCTCATTTAGAATGGAAGGGCAGATAAAGTGCTTCCCAGATAAGGTCAAGTTAAAGGAGTTCATCATCACCAAGCCCTTATTATATGAAATGTTAAAGGGACTTATCTATGAATAAGAAGATGAAAACCATGAACAGTAAAATGACAACAAACTCACAACTAACAACTGAACCTAAAAAAACCCCAAAAAACCAAGCAAGCAACTAGAACAGGAACAGAATCAGAGAAATGGAGATCAGCAAGGAGGGGGAGGGGAAGACTAGGGGAAAAGGTACAGGGAATAAGCAGCATAAATAGTAGGTACAAAATAGGCAGGGGAAGGTTAAGAATAGTATAGGAAATGGAGAAGCCAAAGAATTTATATGTATGACCCACGGATGTAAACTATGGTGTGTGTTGGGGGTGGAATACTGGAGGTGAGGTGGTGCAGAGTGGAAAGAAATAAAGGGGAGAAAAAGTGGGACAAATGTAATAGCATAATCAATAAAATATGTGTATATATATATATATATATATATATATATATATATATATAATGGGACTACATCACACTAAAAATCTGCGTGGCTAAAGAAACCATCATAAAGTAAAAAGGGAACCAAAAGTATGGGAGAACATATTTGCCAATGGTATATTGGACAAGGGTTTAACCTCTAAAATATATAAAGAGCTCATATGATTCAACACCAAGAAGGCAAACAATCTAATTAAAAAAATGGGCAAAGGATCTTAAAAGACACTTCTCCAAGAAGGACATGAAGATGGCCCATAGACATATGAAAAGATGCTCAATGTCACTAATCAGAGATATGCAAATGCAAACCGCACTGAGATATCACCACACACCTGTCAGAATGGCCATCATAAACAAATCAACAAACAAGTGCTGGTGAGGATGTGCAGAAAAGGGAACCCTAGTGCATTGTTGGTGGGAATGCAGATTGGTGCAGCCACTGTGGGAAATGGTATGGAATTTCTTCAAAAAACTAAATATGGAACTGCCTTCTGACCCAGCAATTCTGCTACTGGGAACATACCCTAAGAATACAAAATCACCAATTCAAAAGAACCTATGCACCCCTATGTTCATAGCGGCACTATTTACAATAGCCAAGTGCTGGAAGCAACCTAAGTGCCCATCGGTAAATGAGTGGATCAAAAAACTGTGGTATATTTACACAATGGAATACCACACAGCAGGAAGAAAGAAGGAGCTCCTACATTTTGTGACAGTATGGATGAAACTGGAGACTATATGATAAGTGAAATAAGCCAGTCAGTGAAAGACAAATACCATATGATCTCACCTATAAGAGGAATCTATTGAACAAAATAAACCAACAAGCAAAATAGCACCAGAGGCATAGAATGAACAGAGTGACATTGACCAGAGAGGAGAGAGGAGGAGAATAATGGTGGGAATCAGGGGAAGGGACAAGCCAAAGAACATGTACGAATGACCCATGGACATGGACAACGGTGTGGGGACTGACTGTGGGAGTGGGGGGTGGGCTAGGTAGAGGAGGGCAAAGGAGGGAAAATTGGGACAACTGTAACAGAATAACAATAAAAAAATTTAAAAGACATTTATGTAACACTGCATTTAAAGATGTTAAATATCAACATCATATTCAATGGGTGCATAATATAATATTAAATAGATGTACCATAATTTATTTAAACAGTTCCTTACTGTACACATTTAGGTTGATTCCAACTTTTTGCTATTATAAATAATACCATGATGCAGTTATGTTTCTGTAAATTTCTAATGATTTCCTCAGTATAATTGAATTTGAGAGTAAAATTACTTATAAAGTGGAGGAATGTAAATGTATGGTAAAGAATGCTTTTATTTATTTATTTATTTATTTTAAATTTTATTTTAATTTATTTTTTCAAATACATTTGTCTCTGCCTACTCCCCACCACTTTCCCTTGCCCCCTCCCTCCTTCCCTCCCTCAGCTCTTCCCCTTTGGTTTTGTCCATGAGTCCTTGCTATATGTTCCTTGATTTTCCCCTTCCCTTCCTTTTCCCTGCCCGCTCCCCCCGCCCCCCCCCCGCCTCCTTCCCTCTTGTCTCTGTTGATTTCTTTTCCTTTCAGTGTGGCTGGTCTTATTTTCCTTGCATCTTTGCATTGTTGGTTAGGTTCCGCTTATAGGTGAGATCATATGGTATTTGTCTTTCGCCCCCTGGCTTATTTCGCTTAGCATAATGCTCTCCAGGTCCATCCATGCTGTCGCGAAGTTTAGTAGTTCTTTTTTTCTTTCTGCTGCATAGTATTCCATTGTGTATATGTACCATAATTTTTTGATCCAGTCATCTACTGATGGGCATTTAGGTTGCTTCCAGCACTTGGCTATTGTAAATTGTGCTGCTATGAACATAGGGATGCATAGGTTCTTTTGTATTGGCGTTTTGGTGTTCTTAGGGTATAGGATGCTTTTATTTTTTAAGTATTTAGCAAGTATTTAATAAAGGAGTATGCTATCATAGACAATAGGGGAACCTACTTTTGATAAAGCAGTTAGAGAAGAATGCTCTGAGGGAAAACATTTAGCAAAAAGTTTGAAGGCCAAAAGGAACCAATTATGCTAAGGCTGGGGGAGGAGCATTCTTTGAAGAGGGGGCAGCAAGTACAAAGACCAGGATGGAGGAATAGGCTTGATATATTTGAAAAAACTCAGGGCAGGACAGTATGGGGGAAAAAAAACCCTCTATTTTGGGCAATCAAGAATGTTTTCTTAAAGCACTTGAAAAATGGCAAACCCAAAAGGAAATGGTCACTTAAAAAACCTTTAGTCAATTGTGTTTAACATCATTCTTTATTATGTCACCTGGGTAGCAACTTCTTTGAAATTAATAGAAACACTACTCACCTAAGCAGGCTGCAGCACCAACCATCGCATAAAGGCCAGGAGTGATACAATCAGCTCCTTGGCTACACCAGCTATTAAAGATGCCCCAGTCATGGTGATAATAGGCCAGCTGTTCCATTCCTACTCCTAAAAGTCGACCTGCTATGGCACCAACAGCCATGCTAGGGATAAAGAGGCCAGAAGGGATCTGTAAAGAGAAAGCAATATAAGGTTAGTGAGAAATGACAGGATTGCCTGGTGTATGTAAGGGTACAGAATTGACCCTCTGCAGAGCAAACAGGCCAATGACAATGTAACTATGCATTATGCTAGCAAGTGGCTGTAAAAATTTATGAAACACTACAGGGACTAGAGGTTCTCTGGGACATGAAGGCAAGTATGACTGCAAAGAATCTTACCCTTCTTCGGAGTCCATCAGGCTACAGCCTGAACTCTCGAGACAAACACAGAACTGGGGGCAAACAAGCCTTTCCCAAAGAAAAAGGAAAACAGATGGAGTTTCTCGTATATACAGACATCTCCCCAATTTTGAATTATTATCAAAAAAATTATCCTTTATTGAATACTATTTTCTATTCTGGATGCTCTAAACTTAAGATTTCAGGAGGTGGGTGCAATTATTCCCAAATCACAAAGAACCCAAGGTTCAGAGAGGTTAAGTAACTCACCTACAGCCAAAATTTAGTAAATAGTGGTGCTTAAGTTTAAGTGGAATGCTCATAACTACTCTCATATATTGAATCTTAACTCATTGCACATACAAAAAGAATGGCACATGAGGATTCAGTTTATTTTGTAACAATAAAAAGAAAGATTAAACTATTAATTCTTTTAAATGAGATAATGACTGTGGTTGCATGACTGTCCAGAAAAGGAACCCTCATCTGTCTTCCCACTCTTTTGTGACTCCTAAAATATTACAGTGAATTCTCAATTTGAGCTAAGAGAGGAATATGATGATAAGAATAATAAAAAACAGGTTATTTTTTAATAGCTTGTGTTTGATTTTTGGAATATATTTGAATCTGGCTGGGTCTGATGGTCTGAAACTTCACTTTAAATAAAAAATGAGCCCTGGCTGGTGTGGCTCAGTGGACTGAGTACCAGCCTGTGAACCAAAGGGTCGGTGGTTTGATTCCCAGTCAGGGCACATGCCTGGGTTGCGGGCCAGGTCCCCAGTAGGGGGTGTGCTAGAGGCAACCATACATTGCTGTTTCTCTCCCTTTCTCCCTCTCTTCCCCTCTCTAAAAAAAAATAAATTAAAAATACATACATACATACATACATACATACATAATGAAGCCACAGGCAAAAATTATTAAAGAAGCACTGCAAAACTTTCCAGGGTGTTGAAGAAAACAGGCAGTATCATCTCAGAGATTTTAGTACTGCCTACTGAATTGCTGTCTCTAATTCCCTGGTTTGAATCTCCACCTCCCTACACAATAGAAGAAAATAATTTGGTAGTGGGATACTAAAAAAAGGCACAAATAAAAACCAAGAAGGAGGAAAATATCTTAATGAATTTTCTTTTCTGGTTTCTTCTGAAACATGGAAATAATAATGAGTACTAAATGTAAAATTTGCTCCCTGATGTGTACTTTTGACAGTTTAAATATTTTTTAAAGATTTTGTTTATTTTTATTTTTAGAGAGGGGAAGAGAAGGAGAAAGAGAGGAAGAGAAACATCAATGTGTGGCTGCATCTCACAAGCCCCCCACCGGGGACCTGGCCTGCAACCCAGGCATGTGCCCTGCACTGGGAATCAAACCAGCGATCCTTAGGTTTGCAGGCTGGTGCTCAATCCACGGAGTCACATCAGCCAGGGCACTGACAGTTTAAATATTAATTTACGATCACCTGTGAAGTTCTTGATAATTGAACATTGATACCAAGTGTAAAACATACATTTATATATATATATATTGCGCTAAACCATATGAAATTGCTTTTTAACTGTCAAAGTGGTTGAATATCGGCAACTTCATTATGCACAACCTAATATTTTGTTTTATTGGGAAAACTGTAAAGCCGCCCTTTAAGGATCAACACTATGTTGGTCAGATACTGTTTTAATATACAATGCACAGGAATAAATACCTCTAAAAAGTTGACAATATTTCTACTTAAAATCTCAGCACTGAGGTTTACATTTGGCCTAAAACTAGGCTTGGACAATTTTAGATAGAGGTTCAACTGTCTAAGAAGTTGTGAGGGCATGTGGGGGTAAAAAGGCCATTTGGAGTTGAGGAATAATGTTGAGTGAATCTGGTAGTGCTACATGAGCTATGAGGATTGTATGATTTCTTGGCTTTTCCCTCCAAACCCACAGCCATACTTACATTCAAGAACCAAAAGAATCTACTCACCTTCATGCCAAAGGTGAATACAGTAATGACGATTTTCATTATGAGTGTCAAGGCCAGCTGCCACATGGCACTGTAGACTCCCGCACCAGCAGGCCTGTCGGGCAATTCATCTCCCTTGCTTGTGTTGAAACGGTTCTCATAATCACAGAGCTTAGAGGAGTCCAGAAGGCCACAGTCGTTAAACAGTTCAGAAATGAGCTCACTTGTGCTCATCCGGGTGTATTCATTGGGGAAAGCCAGAATGGCAGTGATGGCTGTCACGACAAGTACTTCTATGACAGGATACTTGCCCAACTGGGTGGTCTTACGCTTCCGACACCAGGCAATGTTGGTGCGGATAAATAAAGCTCCCCACAGACCACCAAATATGCCCAGCAGAATGAATGGCACAAGCTCAAAGAGATGCCATGGGGTATGAAACTCCACATAAAATAGAACCAGACGGCTGTTCCCAAATGGATTGATGGAGCGCAGAGTAAATGCTGCCACCAAGGCAGCAAAGAATGAACGCCACAGCGTTTTAAGGGGAAAATAGTAGCTGACCTATAAGAGAGAAGGTAAAAAAGCAAACTCAGTGAATATGCAGAAACTATTTCAGGTGTAAAGTTGGTGCTGCAGGAATTAAGAACTGAGAATGAGAACTACCCAGAAATCTTTGGTCCCCTGGTAAAGCACTTTGGGACTGCCACGTACATAGATACTGGCCAGGATTCTCAACACAAGAGCATGCGCACGTGCTACAAACAATTAAAAGTAGTTACCTCTTCTAGGCTGAATAATACTCCGCCAATAGGTGCCCCAAAGGCAACAGATACACCAGCTGCTGCTGCAGCTGACAAGACCTACAATCCAAAACTCAAAATTAGCGATGGAATAATGACACTTTCCTACAGTCAATCACAGCTTTAAAAGGAATGTTAGTGGTTAATAAACATTAAAAAAAAACTTTACAGATTCCATATGCAGTTTATCAAAAATTAAGTTTAAATTATATTAACTTTGAGAGCAAACATTGTACACTAGATTTAAAACACATGGTGCACATGCTTGAATACATATAGGACCTTTCCTTTGTAATTAATTTAGGCATGTGTTTTAGGCCAAATTATGCTCCCATCTCCAATACTCAATTCAGTAACCGAATTTGAGTTTGTAGACCTATTCACCACCTAAATGAAGTACTTACAATGATGTGTTTACATAGCACTTTCTTTGTAAAGAAATGCTTTTTAAATGAAATTTTAAGTAAGGCTCTAATGATACAAAACTGAAGTCACAACGAGCTCACAGCTATTCAGATGCTGCAAATATTCATACAATAGGTATTTAGGTTTTCCTATATGTCCTACTCCATGTTTAGTGATCTATGGAAACAGAAATAGGGAGATAACTAGAAGCAAGGTTGGTAACAGATTTTGAAGGGAAGAGAAGGCATAAGTATGCTTAGGTGTGGCAAGGTAAAGGGCAAAGAGGGAGGGGAAACACATGACAAACACACCAGAATTTAATGGAAGTATAAAGTTCTTTCATTAGAGTCTACTTGCTGTGGAGTAATAATATGATTTGGAGTAGTAAAAAGGAATTTCAAAGAGAAAGTTGAACAAAATTAAGAATTTTTTAATAAAATGGTTCTTGGCAAAATAACTAGGCAGGTTTCTCTGGGAGTATAGCATGGCCTAGGAAAATGAAGGGGAGGGAATAGTGAGATCTCTAATACTAGCTGAGGAGGACTTGAAATTTATGGCTATAAGGGCTTTCATCTGAGAAGAATGACAGTCAACATCAAACTTGAGAAAGGGAATTTTAGTGACTATCTTGGATGAATTATGTGAAAGCAGAATGAAGGTGGCTAGTTTGTTATAATTTTATGTTGTAGAGTGAAGTCTGTCTATACCCTTGCTTCTCAAATCTCTATTTTATTCAATGATTTGCCCACTTTAACAAGGCCCTGCGACACAAAAGGTTGCTGCCAGTCAACAGGAAAAAATAACTGGAAAGTCTAAATAAACAATAAGAAGTAGACTAAAGATTCAAATATTCATGAGTATAGTTAGAAAAATATATGTCATTTGTACAGGGAAACAGTCAGATCAAACTCCCATCTCATTTTATAACTATTTGAACAAAAATGTCAATCTTATGGAATGAAAGTAAGCAGCAACCTACAGCTTCAAAGTCACCACTACCCATGCAAAAATGGCAACAATCAACATTTCACTCTTGCCAGCTAAAATGTTTTTTTCAGCTCTCTAGCTTCTGTTGATCATTATTCCCATATAACAACCTCACCACCTTAATACTGCCTTTATGTCCTCCTACCATTTGACAGGTAATTAAACAATCTACCCCCTACCTCATTAGCCTTTCTCTCCTGCCAGAAACTTTCCCCCCTGAACTAACAAAATGTATTCCATATTTGAAATTTCAACATCTTCGTATTTCCTTCTAGGCTTTATATTTTGCTTTGTTTTCAAAATAAATTACTAAGTTTCAATATTGTGCTGATAAAATGGTCTTGGTCCTGACCCATTCCATATGTGATTTCTTTGTAATTCAAGGAAAATAGAGCAAGAGCCATTATTTTCTTAAATCTTTAATTATAATGAGACAAAAATAAACAATGACTTGGAATATTTTTTAAAAATTGTTTTTCCTCCTCAAAACGATAAATGTGAGAATGCCTACAGAGATGCTATGGTGGAAATAACTTAGTGCGGTTAAGACATAAGGCAGAGGGAGATCCAATACAAAGAGACAAATTCAGTTTGGAATCTGGTAGAAATAAAACATGAAATGTTGACATTTGAAACATGTGCTGAGTGTGTATTTTTTCACAGGAATAAACTACTTTTAAAAAATCTTCTATTGTTTTGGAACTTATTTAGTAATAGAAACAGGCACATACTTGTGTAGAATTAAACATAATAAAAAAGTTTAAGTCCTTACTCCTCCTTTACTATATCACCTCACTTTCCCATTCACCAGAGGAAGACTTTTTTTTAACAGTTTGGGGTAAAATCACTTTTCAGTCATTTTCTTTCTAGGTGCACATACACAAACTGGAAAGCAATATAGAGTTTACTCAAAAAATTAAAAATGGAGAAGGGAAAGATGGTGGAGGAATGAGTGGAAGTCACACTGACCTCCTCCCAGGACCAATCTGGAATAACAACTAAATTGTGGAGAAATCACCTGGAAAACAACTGAATAGCAAGAGAGGAGTCTTAAAACCTAGGTCAGACAGAGGAATGGGCTTTAGCACAACCTAACTGGTAAGGAGTGCGGTAGAGGCTTGAGAAGGTGGGCTGGGTGCCCATGGATGGCAGTGCCAGAGGGATGTTGAAAGAGCCAATTGGATTCCCCTGAGAAGAGCAGGGTCTAAACCATACGTGGGGATCTCCAGCCTACAGCACAAGAGCCCAAAAAGCACACAGGCAACAGCCAGCTGTGAAAAGTGGCAGTGTACTCTCTGACAGACACAGGCAGATGGAGCTGCAAAGAGCCATTTAAAAGGCCAACACAAAAATCTGTACTGGCAGCCACTTACCCGAACTCTGGAGAAGGTGAGGGCAGAATGGACTGGAGACACCTGAGGAGAGACTGGAGAGGGAGGCTTTGGGGAAAGAACTGAGAGGGTGGATGGCAGGGTCCCAGTGCTCACTCACCCTGCATTCCGCAGCTGCCATCTTGCTCAGGGAGACCACTCCCCTGAGCAGTGGCAGCGTGAAAGGACACAATAGCCACGCTCCCAGTAGGCTCGGCCCTGGCCCGGTTGTGTGCAGGCCCAGGTGCTGAGAACAGAGTACCTGTCACAGATAGTAGATCCCGGCTAAAGGGGGTGCAGAATGGTCTACAGACACTTGAGGAAAGTGTGGTGATAGAGGCATTGGGCAGAGAACTGAGGGAGTAGCCAGTAAGGGGGATCTCAGTGCTGACTCCTCCCCCATAAGGCCGCAGCCATTTTTCTCGAGCAGACCACCACCCTGAGTGGCAGCATCCTGAAAGGCACAATAGCCCCACCCACAGGAGGGACTCTGTCCCACCCTGACTCCTGAGGGCAGAGTGACTAGAGTAACAACTAGAGGAGACAGCCACAGACAACAGATTCCTGGAAGTCTCTTAAAGACTGCCTAAGGTCAAACAGGGTCAACAGCTGACATCATCAGAGGCAGATACAGAAAGAAAGGGGAAAAAAAGCAATCTCTTACCATAGAAGTTCACATCACAAAGTCAGGAAGTCAAGACAGATCAATTTAAGAAGCAGATGCAAAAAAGAAGAGTCTCACAAATAACGGGAAGAAAAAAGAAGCAACCCCCAATTGAAGGGAAAGGAGGAATCCCCAGAAAGAGAATTAAATGAAATAGAGGCAAGTAAACTATAAGATACTGAGTTCCAAACAACGGTTCTAATGAGGCTCAATGAGCTCAGTGAACTCAGAGAGAATTACCAAAAACTACAGGAAACTATGAGGAACTTACTGCAAACTGTATCAGCATGAAAAAAAGAATAGAAACTATCAATAAGACACAAGAGGAAATGAAAAATACAATTTCTAAACTGAAGAACACAGTAGAAAGAATCAAAAGTGTGGAGGGTAGTGAAGGCTAACATCAAAAGCAGGTTGAGTGCTTGGCAAAGCCATACTTCAGTAGCTTGGATCTGCAAAGCAGAGAAAGCCAGCAGCTGACAACAGCCCTAACCAGAGGGTGTTGAGAAGGGAGTAGATAACTGCAATAATCAGCTGAACACTGTTGTAACCTATGCAGAAGAAAGCTTTATTATGTAGATAGCCTGAGAATGGTACAATCCGTACCCACAGCATTCCCCTAAGTCTGCAAAACTCCTCTGAGCTTTATGTAACGAACCCATATGAAATAAACGCGGAGACGGTGGTCACTGTCATTCTCTCTTCATCAGAGGACACTGCCCCATGTGGCTCTTGCTTTTCTCTAAACTGTTTGTGTAGTCTCTTTCTCAATCTCACATCACCCCCACTCAGGGACCACCACTCCACGTGGATCGCAGTACAAAAGTAGGCTCGATGAAGCAGAGGATCGAATCAGTGAGCTGGAGGAAAAGGTAGAAAAAAGCTCCAAGAAAGAGCAAGAAAATGAAAAAAGACTCAAAAAGAATAAAGAGGCATAGAGGGAAGTGCAGAACAACCTGAAATGTAATAAAATCCGTATAATAGGGATACCAGAAGGAAAAGAGGAACAAGGGAAAGAGAATCTGTTTGAAAAGTAATGATGGATAAATTCCCTCATTAGGAGGAGGAAAAAGGTCATGCAAGTACAGGAAGCACAGAGGGTCCCATTCAAAAGGAACCCAAGGAGGCCCACTCCAAGACACATCATCATTAAAATGGCAAATACCAAGGACAAAGAGAGAATCCTAAAGGAAGCAAAGGAGAATGAGGTAGTAACATACAAGAGAGACCCAATACGGCTGGCAGCTGATTTCTCAACAGAAACACTACAAGCCAGAAGGGAATGGCAAGAAATATTCGAAGTCATGAAAAGCAGGGGCCTACAGCCAAGACTGCTCTACCCAGCAAGGCTCTCTATTAAAATAGAAGGCAAAATAAGGAGTTTCCCAGACAAAAGAAGGTAAAGTACGTCTCCACCAAACCAGCACTACAAGATATGCTAAAGGGACTGCTTTAAGAAGATGAAGAAAAAGTGAGAAAGAGAGGTTCACAGGTAGAAAGAGAAAGAATGAATAAGTACCTATCAATAATAACTGTAAATGTAAATGGAGTAAATGCCCCAATCAAAAGACAGAATATACCTGAATGGATAAGGAAACATGACCCACACATATGCTGCCTACAAGGGATGCACC